AGTCCGGGATATTGGGATGTAGCCATGTCTCGCTGAGGCAGTACACTGCGCAGTCCCGAGCCTCGCGCTGGTATTGGATTCGGCTCAGGAGATCATCCGACTTGTTCGGGAGAGACTGAACGTTCGCCAGGTAAATAGGTGGCAGTGGAACCCTGGGGGCGCGACTCCGCACGAGAAGCCCGCCACGCTTTCCCCGGTCTCTGCGCTTCCTCCGTCGGCGAGAGACACCCGGCTCCGTACGGTGGTGAACACGGGGGAGGCGCCCGGCCTCATCGCCCTGTTCCCAGTCTCTGTCGCGGTCCGCACGCCGCTCTCCTCGGGCTGGGCACTCGTCAAAGCCCTCACACCTAAGAGCAGGCGACACTGACTCACAAGCCAAGTCCCGTAAGTCCAGGAGAGTCTGTCGATCATATACCACAGTGGCAAGTGTTTTGTGAAAGGATAAAAACAGTGAAAGGATAAAAACAATCACGGTGCACAACGGAGCTCTTGCAGCGGCGCCCTGGCACGGCGCCATCTGCCGAGAGAGCAGATGGCTAACCCTCCAGCGTGTCCTGGGTCTTCTCCGGGGCCTCCTCCCGGTGGGACGTGCTTGGAACACCTCCCCAGGGAGGACCATGGCCTCAGATTTGGAGGTGCTGATTCTCATCCCAGCCGCTTCACACTCGGCTGCAAACCGTCCCAGTGCATGTTGTAGGTCCTGGTTTGTTGGAGCCAACAGGACAACATCGTCCGCAAACAGCAGAGATGAAATCCTGTGGTCCCCGAACAGGACCCCCTCCGGCCCCTGGCTGCGCCTAGAAATTCTGTCCATGAATACAGTGAACAGAACCGGTGACAAAGGGCAGCCCTGGCGGAGGCCAACACCGGGAACAGGTCTGACTTACTGCTGATGCAAACACAGCTCTGACTCCGGTCATACAGGGACCGGACGGCCCTCAGCAGAGGACCCCGTACTCCCGGAGAACCCCCCAAAGGACACCCTGGGGAACACGGTCGAACGCCTTCTCCAAATCCACAAAGCACATGTGGACAGGTTGGGCGAACTCCCATGAACCCTCGAGTATCCGATGGAGAGTATAGAGCTGGTCCAGTGTTCCACGACGACCGGAATCCGAGATTCAACCATCGGTCGTAGCCTCCTCTCCAATACCTTGGAGTAAACCTTACCGGGAAGGCTGAGAAGTGTGATCCCACGATAATTGGAACACACCCTCTGGGCACCGTTATTGTAGAGAGGGACCACCACCCCTGTCTCCCACTCCACTGGTACCGCCCCCTAGCACCACGAGATGTTGCAGAAACGTGTCAGAGACAGTCCTACAACATCCAGACACTTTAGATCAGGGGTCCCCAAATGGTGGACCACTGTCCAGGTCCGGACCCCGAGACCCTTTTCTCTGGACCTCCGTGAATTTTTTGTAGAAGTTGGGTTCCAAAGCCCAAGCTGTGTGTGGAGGTGAGGCCGACTATTTCTAGTCGGTATCGCTCAACCTCCCCCAAGAGCTCGGGCTCTTCCCCCCCAGTGAGGTCACGTTCCACGTCCCAAGAGCTAGATGTTGTGTGTGAGGACTGGGTTGTCGAGGTCTCCGCCTTCGACCGCTGCCCAGTCCTCTCGGCACCTGACCACCACGGATCCCTCTGCAGGTGGTGGGCCCACAGGAGTGACTGCCCACGTCATCCCCTGGGCCCCGTGGGCTAAGGCCCGGCCACCAGGCGCTCGCTTTTGAGTCCCAACCCCAGGCCTGGCTCCAGGGTTGGGCCCCGGCTGCGCCATGCCGGCAACGTCACTAGGTCTTTTTTCGTGCGATTCATGGTGGTTCTTGGACTGCGCTTTGTCTGACTTGTCACCTGAGACCTGTTTGCCATGGGAGACCCTACCAGGGGCATAAAGCCCCAGACAACATAGCTCCCAGGATCATCCGAGTATTCAAACTCCCCCACCACGTTGAGTTGGCAGTCCAGGGGGGAGACATTACCAGTACATCTCAATCGTTGGCTTTTTGATGTAACCAGTGATGAAACTGAGACCCAAGAATCTTTTTGAGTTCAGGGACCGAGAGCTCTTTCCACTATTCCTCATGCTGTGGGGCAAAGGCTCTGTGTTCGTCTCCAATTACTGGCTGGCATAGAGGTTTGTCTGATCTACAATTTGTTGGAGCAGTTCCTTCGTCAAGAAGAGCTCCAGAAAGTCAGCTGGATCAGATGAATCCAGCTCCACAGCAGGTCCCTGAGGTCCAGGTGCTTCTGTAAAGGGCAACTGACTCCATTCCCACTCATCCTCCTGCCAGCCATTTTCTCCAGAGCCTCTGCGTGATGAACGGGCTGTAAATTGGATGAATACAATTACTACTGTATATTATACAGTGAATTTGCTACAATAATCAAGACATAACATACAAGGAAGGTCATCCTCCCATATTATTGACTAACTACTTTTGGACCAAAACAATTGTTCAATGAATATTGTACATTGGGCAGGCGGTCGGAGGTGCTCATCCCAAGAAAAAGTTCTGTGTTTTACACAAAGCACACTGTGTCTATCCAATTGTCTGTGAAACTGTGTGTTATTGCTCTCTGCTGTTTCTTGCTGCACACAGCGCCGCAAATGGCAAAGTGGCACACTCTCTGCCAAAACAATTTCCAAGTGGTAACTTTTGTTTGTTACTTACGTGGCAATAAAAATGATTCTGATAAAGATATTCCCGACAATGCTTTACAGACGTGTCCTGAAGTCAACCAGAAATCATTCCATATCTGCCGTTTGGGTCTAGCACAGATTTCTCCAGCCTAAAAGGAATACCCTTTCAAATAATTATTGCAGCGCCCCGTGATTTAGTGTTAAACGTGGAATGAAAAACCTCCCCAACTCAACTTATTTTTAAGCGCGCAATGTCCTTATTGAGTAAATGAGTCTCCTGAATAAAGTATATGCCACCTCGGTGGTTGAGAGCGCAGTGACTGGACAGAGGAGAGTTGTGCTAATTGAGCAGTTGCTTAGAGAACACAAGAAACACATTCGCTCGAAGGACATAAGACATTAGAAATGAGGCTGAATGACATTGTGTGCCAGGCTTGAACTCTCTGACCCGGCATGGATACGCCCCTGTGTACGGAGGTTTTGAGGGCACCGCAATTTGGTTTAATTGGATTTATAGTATATCTGCCTTGCTTTTGACCGCTACATTGCATATAAATTGTCCCTCTCAAAGCGATGTGTTTTCCTCTATTGCTGTGGCTGTCTCCACTCTTACCTTTCTCACACACAGTACCTACTACCAAGGCTGAAGATAACATGGACTCTCATCTACACAAGCCTCACACTTTTACAGCTATACCCAGATTTGGACTGCCCTCCCCCCCCGCTCCTCTCCCCCTCCCTTCCCTCCCTCCCTCCTCACCCCCTTAAGTCTTTCCTGCTCATCCCCCCCCTCACCCTAGCCCCCCTCTGACGGCCCACATTGGCAAAGGGCGGCCGGAGTTCACTTCCATAATAAAAGCGTCCGTGTTTTATCCAAAGCATAATGTGTCTTATCCAAACTGTCTGTGATATGTTACTGCTCTCTGCTGTTTATTCTACTGTTTGTCGCATGGCGCCGTAAAGATGGCGCCGTAAAGATGGCGCCGTAAAGATGGCGCCATGGCAAGAGCTCTGGTGTGTGTCGTCTTCTCTTTCTGGTGCACACTGAGGTAGTCCTGGGCACAGTTTTTCCATTGTGGTTTTACTGCAAATGGCAAATAAATGAAACTGAATCTGAATCTAATCTGGTTCAAATGAGCCATCACCCGTCCCAATTTGGTACTACTCCCCAACCCCTACTCCCCCTAAAAGTAAAGAAATATGCACTTCCGCGAGGTGTAAACAAGTACACAAACAAAACAAAAGTGATGATCTTTGTAAAAAAAAAAGTAGACTTCTTACTGGCTGGCGGCCTTTTAGACCAATAGTTTAAATACTGGTATTTAACAAACACTAGCATGAGCTAGTACATACCAGCTAGGCAACATTGGCTGTACGATCGTTAGCTTATAGTGCTAAGTCACATATACCGATAAAGGCATGAAAGTCAGCCCTGCTCTGTGGGTGAAGTAAAGTTCCGGCGAGACCAAGAGTCTCCAAAGGTGGTGGCTTCCTTCAGGGAGGGTCGAAACTTTTTCGTACCGTTGTACAGCACATTGAAGAGCCTGACAGGGTATTGCAGGGCAGGCTTGAGGCCCATGCCGTATAGCCTCTTCATAATGCCTCGGTATGGCGTGCGCTGCTTTTTAAACCTCAAGCCTGTAGTCCTCAAAGATTTGAATAGGTACATTGTTGTACTTCGGCTTGCCACGCAGCTTATGAGCCCCACAACCAATTCACTCGTCTTGAAATTGTGAAAGCAGATAACCACAGGCCGCGGCTTTTCAGAGGGGCCTGGTTTAGCGGCGAGCGTTCGGTGATCCCTGTCCAGCTCCAGGGAAGGTTTCATAATGTCGAGACCCAGTGTATCAAAGAGCAGTTGCGATAAAAACGCTGTTGGTGCCGTTTGTACGGCTTCTACTCTCCAGGTCCCTCTACTACACTTTAGCTCGTAGCTTTGCATTTTCCACAGCTACAGTAGTAAGTGTAGCTTATATAGCCACGAGGTCAGTACTTGTGGAATCAGCAAACGGCTCCAAGTCTGTAATGCGTTGTTCAAGGTCATCGACAGACGCCCTCCAGCTTCACCTGATATTTCTTGCAGATGTCCATGACTTCTGCCAAAAGCTTGCTAGTGCTAGTAAGGCTAGCCAAATCTTCCCGTTCTTGTTCTTCTTTCCCTCTTTTTGGTGGCATTATACAAAACTGTATGTATAAGGCACTATTGGCCAAGCAAACTAAACAAAAGCAACGAAAATAGGTCAAATTACCAAGTGGATGTTATAAAAGTGTAGGTGCACCACTGCACACGTCTACTTGCAGCTGTAAACACCAACTGTTTTAACATGTAGATGGCTGATTCTCCTTTTTTCTTACACAGGTGAACGGTGAACCAGTCGTCCTACCATATGTCCACCCAATGGAGACCATCATGATCTTCCGGGCTCCAGGAAACGCCACAGTGGTGGAGTCTCGCGGCCTGCTCCGAGTGCACTACACACGACAGGGATACCTCAACATCTCCCTTTCTACGCTATACTATAATGTCACCTGTGGACTGTGTGGGGTCTTCAACAGCAATGCCACAGACGACTTGCGGCTGCCCAACGGTCGATTGGCGGAGTCGCCAGAGCAGTTTGCTGAGGCGTGGAAGTCTTTAGCTGACGATTTGTCTTGTAACGGTGACTGTGATGACTTGTATCGAATGTGTACGGGTTTGCGAATTTACCAGAGCCCGTACATGTGTGGAAACATCAATGACCCCGGGAATAGTTCGTTCATAGCCTGTCACACAGTGGTGAATCCTTCTCCGTTTTTTAGGAACTGCTTGTATAACATGTGCGTGAAAGAAGGAAACCGCTCTGTCATGTGTAGCTCCCTGCAAGCCTATGCCACGGCGTGTCAGGATGCCCAAGTGAGCCTGCCATCCTGGAGGAGTGCCACCAACTGTCGTGAGTACATGTATCTATTCTACTCTTGAACCCTCTAGGAGCCATGGTGGACATTATGGTGCCTTCACATAATCAAGGGGACAGTAACATGATGGAGAAGCCTTTTTCTTGTGTTTGTTAGACAAGAGAGAGCAGGGACAGTAGCAGTAACACTCAGTGGCAGTGACGCTTGACTTGGGAGTATTGTGCAATACTGCAACTTCAGAATGTCCACTGTACAATGTCACTTTAGAATCAATCAGAATTTAAATCAATGTATTGCCATTTGCAGAAAAAAAAACCTACATTGGAATACAAACAGGAGACACCGGGGGCACCAACACCACAAATCAAACAGACAAGACACAGTGAGGCACATATAAAACTCTTAAAAGGATGATTAAGAAACAAAGGAACTAAAAATAGAAGCAGATCTCAGGGCGCTCGGTTCAGTCTTTACTTATCTACTAAGGATGGTGTTGTTGGTGGGTGTCGTGATGTCAAGAGTTTGCACCAAATTTGCTGGTTGTAATTTGGCAATGACAGCGAATGCGATAGTAAAGTAATCCATTCTAGTACGTCTCCCAAATGTCAAGAAATTGAAGCTGGAGTAAGAGGAACGTTTAGCAAATGTCATTGCTGGCAAAGATATTGTGGCTCTACTCCCCACGGGCTCCGTTATGGCAAAGGAGATGGCAATGCTAAATGCTAGCGACTCACACGGGCGCAATACATACGTCACGGCAAACTCAGATCCAATTGTTTCAACCTGCATAAAGTGTTCACCCCTCCTACCTGTTAACGGAGCTCAAAGGGACAAATTCAGACCTTAGTACGAAATGCAATGTGTAAGATGGTGTGGTAAGACCAGGCCATGTTAGAAAGGTTAGGTGTTTTTCCTGTGAAAACACGATAAGGTGTCTGCTCTAGACGCTTACTGTGACACCTGCTGTGTATTTGAGCTGCTGTCTGTACACCATATGTCCACATGTGCTTTGGGAGGTTACTCTCAAATAGCATGCATCGTGTCATCTCAAATAAGGTTCTCCAGCCTCTTTCCATTCTGATGCGGTGAGTAGGCTGCACTAGTGTCGTAGATTAACCACACAGAGATGGATCGTGGCGCACCAGAGCTTTTCTCAGACAGAAAGTCAGGACATGGTTTATATAGTCATTGTTACGTCACAGATACGTCACACACAGAAAGGCATACGTGTCACATCCAGAGACAATCAGAACATATCATAGGCATAACATGGATACACAATCAGAGTCCTTGTAGAGTGTTGCGTTTGTCCACCTGCGTAGGCCATAGATATCTATCCACGATACAAGTCTCGTGCCTTATCCCGTTACTCCTAGCTACAATCTGGAACGCCTGCCTGTAAATTCAGTACCAGTATCTGACCATGTGCACTTTATCTTTCCATACGGAGAGACATCTGCTATGAATCTTTCTGTGGCTTTTGTTGTGTCACGCTTTGCTTTGATAAAGTATGGAAAAATCCTCCCACTATAACCATCAGTAAATGCTAGTGCATATCTGTCCATTTTTAACTGCTGGATCCATAGAGCCGCACAGGTCTGTGTGGCTGCAATAGCTGCAATACAGCTGTGGCTGTAGCGTCTGCCTGTCTGTTTCTACACATATCCCTGTGTGCATTTCACAAAGTTTTGGTCGGACTTGTCACGTTTCACTTTAATTGACATCCCTTCAACCACCTTTTCCAATCTTGCAATATCATCAAAATTACAATGACCTATGCCATATAAGTAAATAAGTAATCGGTATTAGTATACCGCCTTTCACAGACCAGAGTCACAAAGTAGTTTACAATTGTTATTTTTTGGGAATTAGTCTCTGACTCCACACAGAGATGGGAGGGGCCAGTACAGGAGGCGCATGCCAGACCTATTGGACATGTTTTTAGTGGTAGGGGAAACCGGTAGCCTGGCTCTGCAAGACCCTTGTAGTTCCGCCATGCTCCACCAGAGGCGTTTGGCTGAACCACATGGGTCTGGTATGGAGCCCATAGCGAACGCTTTCCCCAGATTATTTTTTAATCGACCAATCAGGATTGCCGGTGTTACGTGGGGTTTGCACTGCCTTCTTAAGCTTCTCTTGTGCAGCAGAGAGAGGAATCCAAGATGGCGGACGTAAAGTCCGCGAATCTTTTTAAAAGAGTAAATACGATCGAATTAAGACACGGAGGTCACTTTTAATGCAATTTGAGGCGAGATGTTGATGGTTCTATGTTGATGGTTCTATGTTGATGGTTCTATGTTGATGGTTCCATGTTGATGGTTCTATGTTGATGGTTCTATGTTGATGGTTCTATGTTGATATATGTGTGTTTTAAGAGTCAAATGTTCCTGTAAAGTTTGGTTGAAGCACTGGTTCAGTGTTCCTGTTTACACACTATGCAGCAGGGTTGCCAGGTTTGGTGGTTCCCGCATATTTTTTTCCAAGAGACTTGTAGGTATTAAATAAACAGAAAGACAATAAACAGAATCATGACAGCCCAAGTTGATTATATTACGTTTTTAGCCAAAAAATCATTGAGTTTTTTTTGTGGGGTTTCTCGCGGATTTTGGGTTGGAAAATCTTGCTGGGATTTGGCAACCTATGGGAGCCGTGTGCTTCGATGTGAGTGGTTGAAAGCAGACTTCATTCAAGATAACGGACAAGTGGTTTATCCAATCACATACAAGGATTTTTTTTACAAGGCCCTGCCTTCTGAAATCCAACCACTATGGCTCAGTACCAGACTCATGTGTGAAGTGCAGCGAACTACATACACTTCCCCGTCTCCCCTCATCTCTACCGTCCCGCTCACCTCGGTCCCATTGGCAAGCTCAATCATGTGGTCCTCAGGTCTGAAGCTTTGTGGCGTTGTTTATCAGGTGTGCTGAGGCGCCTTCTTGTTTCCTTTTTTAGAGGACAGTCACTCAACTTGAAGAAACAGAAAGATGTAGGTTCTGCCTCCCCATCAGTTTTCTTTTTTTACTGTATGGTTGTGTGAATTAATTTAAGCTTAGACATGAGACAAGGAGACATCAGAAGGTTGCATTGTTCAATTGGCATTTATTAGCAGTTTTAAGAAAGGTACCAGACAGCTCCAAAGTCTGGTCCATGGGCGCTCCTGCAGAAGTCTCTACAACTCTGGGAGAGACTCTTCAACTCTGCCAAAGTCTGAATGTCACAGAGAAGGATGGCGCTTTTATAGGCCTTAAAAGATTACGTAAACACATAGACGTTTGGAAACATGACACAACAGAATGAACCGTATGGCTTCAATGTAAGGAACACGTAGGCCTAGAATGGCATCAACATATATCCGATCAGCAGCTGCCACAGTGCCCTGTAGCTCAGCCTTCAGAATCAAAACAAGGGAAAAGTACTGGCTCGTGCAAATGTCATAAGGATGAGTTTGAACTTTAACCACAGTTGCTTCAAAGTGTGAAATCTCACAGGGAATTACAGAGATGAATCCTTAAGTATTTAAAGCCCTCAGTACACCATTAGAAGGCACTGGGATAGTACTCCTGTATTTGTTTGACATGGTGATGGGGAATGCCTCACTCTTTGAGTAATTAATTTTATAGCCTGATTTTATAACCTCACTATATTTCTCAAGACTGGAGTGCAATGAAGGGTAGGATGTTGTAGGTCGGGATTTAAATACCAATTGGTTGTCAGCAAAGAGTGCCAGCTTGTGCCGTTGGCAATTGGTATGCCAGTAATATTTGTATTTGATCGTATGGCAACAGCCAGTGGCTCTATTGCAATTGAGAACAAGGCAGGTGAGCTTGGACAGCCTTTGAAGGCATCAGACAGAACCCCGTTCGTCTTGATTTGTGCACTTGGTGCATTGAACAGTGTCCTAACAAATCTAAGAAAATTATCGCCATAATTCATGGCCCTCATTGTTTCAAAAAGGAAGTTTGGTTCTATCTTGTCAAACGCCTTTTCAGCCAGAGACCCCTACAGCAGGATTTCCTTGTTTTTGTCGCCGGACATTATCTGCTCCCTATCTGTTATTAATAAAGCGTTGATAATATTTAATTTACTTTTTCCAAACGGGATGCTATAATTTTGGATACGGTTTTGTAATCTGTATCAAGAAGGCTAAGAGGTCATGATAAATTGGAAAGGATTCTTTTTTTTTATTTCCAATTGAGTTGCCTGCTCCGTTTTGTATAATGTTTCGTAATATTTGTTTAATTCTGAATTTATGTCCTTTGATCTCCCCAAAGACTGGTCATTATCGGCTTTAATGCATTGTATACACTTTTCAGTTTCTTGCTGTAATACGTGCCGAAGATGAAGTTGAGAGGTCGTGGACTATGTAAGAATAATATATTTATTGTACAGAACTAAATAACAAAAATACCAAGCAGAAATGTGCATAAACAAAGATGCAGCATTGGACGCAGTTCAGCATTGGACGCTCAGTTGGGCCTGGGGCCTTTTATGCCTGGGCAGATTGGCATCCGGCAGGTGCGGGCATCAGCCAATGGGTGGTGCAGAGGCGGTCTAGCTGAAGGGGTGGAGGCAAGGAAAAACACACCTCCCTCCATAAAACAAAACACCCAGAAGGCTAAAACTAGAATTAACAAAACCCCCCCTTGTTGAAAATGGGAGAACTACCCAATAACAAGTCAAAACCAAGTACACATTACCGTCCAAAGCCAGTGGCTATGGACGAGCCACAGAGCAGTAACTGATTGTGAAACACAACCACAGAACATATGGTGCATTAAAAAGGATACAGGTGTTATTGTCTAAAAAAAGACCTGGGCGTGTGTCAGAATCCTATGAGCTGAGCTTAAACTGTCTCTAAACTATGAGAAAGAGGTCAACCAGGCGCTCTGCGATGACCTCTTTCTATCTGACCCTGCTCAGACTGACTCACATTATTCACATATCTCCTAACTAATATGTGCAGAAGTGGGCGTGGCTTCGTCAGGCGACGTCAGTCCAGACCAGGTCTCGGTCTCGGGTCCTGGTCTGAGGTCCT